CACAACTAAAGCTTTTCATGAGTGTTTAGTTCCTGAAAGCCCTGGGATAAAAAGAATTTAAAACTTGCAAGCTTCAACACTTATGGAATAAAAGGACAGACAGGCCGGGCGCTGGTGGCTCAGGCTTGTAATCCTAGCTACTCAGGAGGCTGAGATCTGAGGATCGCGGTTCAAAGCCAGCCCGGGCAGGAGAGACCGTGATACTCCTATCTCCAATAAACCACCAGAAAACCGGAAGTGGTGCTGTAGCTCAAGTAGTAGAGTGCTCGCCTTGAGCTGAAGAGCCCAGAGTTCAAGTCCCACGACCGACAAAAAGAAAAAAGAAAAAAAAAAAACAAGAGTTTTCAGCACATCTCCAAAGGTCTCCCTCCTCCGCTGTCCTCACTAATTTGCCCTATGCCTATCTGGCAGAGTTGGCATGTAGTGGCCTAGTTCACAGGCTAAGACCATCTTACCTACTACTCATATCTGAGGTTCCCTGTCCTAAGAACCCTCATGTGCTTGGTTCATTTTCTACTCCCTCTTTCTTTCATAATGCTCCTTAAGTTGTCTACATGTTTCTCAGTGCAAACTTTACCATCGGAGAAACTCCTGCCTTCCCTGACACAGTCTAATAAAGTAGATTGATCTTCTTCTACAGAAGAATAACACCTTATCACTGCTTAATTTACATCCAGAGAACTCAAGTAGGAGATTCTGACAGAATTGAATTCAAATCCCATGTCTAGGCAGTTACTACCTAGGTTATTTCTAAGCCTGTGTCTTCATGAAGAAAATAGGAATCCTACTGACTGAACTGACTACCTTCAGTGTTGTGAGTGTGATACATCATATGACACCATTCAGCCCAGCCCTCTCTCCTAAGGTCTACCTCACACTTGACCCTGTTTTAGCTCTTTTCCTGTCTTAGCTCAGCAAACCTAAACAGAAGAATTGTGCATGATTCTTCTTTATTCCTCTTTCCTCCAACCACTTCTCACCACTGCCTGTCTGATTCAAGCCATCATCACCAAGTCTCTCACTTAAATTATTAATCAATTATTATTGATTCTGCCTTGGCCTCCTATAGTCTCCTCTTATTCCTCCTTTACATACAAATTTAGAGTAGATCCCTATTTGCTTCTCTGTGGCCTCATCTCCCACTATTGATTTCTCTGTCATTGCCACCTTGCCCTTACTTACTATTCCTGGAAATTTCATTGGGTATATCTCTGCCTCAGACCTTTTATTAGCTGTTCTGTCTGCTTGGAGCAGTCTTACTTTAAGATCATTGTATAGCTAATTAATTTCCCTCCAATCTTCACTTTAACGTTTTCTCAATGAAATCTGATGACTGTTTGTTCCTTCTTCCTCTCCCAGCACTAGAGATCCTTTTGTTCTGTTTTTCCTATAAATAAATCACCTTCTACCATTCCACATACTTTACTCACTCTTCAAGCTTTTTTATTGTTTCAGACCCTCCACTAGATATAAATTTCATGAGGGTAGGCATCATTCTCTCTTTTGTTCATTGGTCTATTCCCAGTGTAAGAAAAATACCTGGCATCTGGGTAGATAGACAGTAAATGTTTAGAGAATGTTTTTAAAATGCCTAGCAAATGGCTTAGACTAAAGTTGTTCTGTAGTTGGTGGTGATAGTGATACTTGTGATTCTAAACATGTGTTTGTGATTTAGTGTTACTACTGGTATTTAAGCTAGTACATTAATGGGCCAACTATATTGGCATCCCTCCAAAAGGTATGCAGGCCCTTTAGACCTTTCCTAAAAACAGGCCTTTACAAAAAAGGTGGGGAGAGTCCAGGTGCCGGTGACTCATACATGTAATCCTAGCTACTCAGGAGGCTGAGATCTGAGGATCTCGATTCAAAGCCAGCCCAGGCAGGAAAGTCCTTGAGACTCTTATCTCTAATAAACCACAAGACAACTGGAAGTGGCTCTGTGGCTCATGTGTAGAGTGCTTACCTGGAGCTGAAGAGCTCAGGGGCTTGAACTCTGGGCCTGGGCCTGGGTGCTGTCTCTAAGCTTCTTCTGCTTAAGATGAGCGCTTACCACTTGAGCCACAGTGCCACTTCCTGCTTTTTTGAGTATTGGAGATAAGAGTCTCACAGAGTTTCCTGCCCAGGCTGGCTTCAAACCACAGTCCTCAAATCTCAGCCTCCTGAGAGGCTAGGATTGCAGGCATGAGCCACAGCACCCAACAAAAAGTGCTTTCTTAAACTTTGTTGATATGCTGTCATTATATAACTTAAGAACTACCTACTACATTACTAATGAAAGTCCTGTGTCTTTAGTGAGCATGAGAAGCTATTGCTAATTTATTTTATTTAAGGGAACCATTCACAAGAAAACTAACATCACTGGAGGCCCTCTTCTTCTGTACTTCTTATTTGCCCTCACAGCTATGATTTCTTTACATCTTTGCGATAAGCTTTTTCATTTATAATATAAAATTTTTGTTCAGCTGACTCAACTTTCTTATTAGCCTTTTAGACAGTTTTTTTAAGTAAGGTAAGCTATTTAAGTGATCTAACTTTTTATGTCTTCTCCTACTTATCAATAGATATGTGGGGGTCCTGGGGTGGCAGACCCAAGAGCCGGAGGTGATGCAACTGACTCAAGCCAAACAACGATTGATAATAAAGCCTCATTGCTCCACTCCATGCCTGCTCACTCTTCTCCACGGTCTCGAGACTACAATCCCTATAACTATTCGGATAGCATCAGCCCCTTCAACAAATCTGCCCTCAAGGAAGCCATGTTTGATGATGATGCTGACCAGTTTCCTGATGGTATGTTCTGGATCAAGCTGCTACTGCTGATTTTAGAACTCTGGATCATATAATTCTGTTCTTAACTTTTTTTGTCCGTCATGGGCCTTGAACTCTGGGCCTGAGCACTGTCCCTCAGCTCTTCAGCTCAAGGCTAGCGCTTTACCACTTGAGCTACAGCACCACTTCCGGTTTTCTGGTGGTTTATTGGAGATAAGAGTTTCACAGACTTGGGATTGGGAAGGTGGCTCAGTGGTAGAGTGCTTGCCTTGCATGCCTGAGACCCTGGGTTCGATTCCTCAGCACTACATAAGCAAAAAGAAAAAAGCCGGAAGTGGTGCTGTGGCTCAAGTGGTAGAGCGCTAGCCTTGAGCTGAAGAGCTGAGGGACAGTGCTCAGGTCCAGAGTTCAGGCCCCTAGACCAGACCCAAAAAAAAAAAAAAAAAGTGTTTCACGGACTTTCCTGCCCAGGCTGGCTTTGAACCTGGATCCTCAGATCCCAGCCTCCTGAGTAGCTAGGATTACAGGTGTGAGCTACCGGCATCTGGCTTCTGTTCTTAACTTTTTGAGTAACTCTTAGACTGTTTTCTATAAAACTATAGTGTTTTACATTCCCAACAGTTGTGCACAGAGTACCAGTTTCTCCACATTCTTATATTTTCTGTGTGTCTGTTTTGAGTTCTTCTGTTTTTAAGACGGGCTGTACTAGCATTTAAACTCAATTCCTCTTGCTTACATTCATATACTGTACCACTAGAGCCACTCCCACCCTTTTGGTTTGTTTTTGTTTAATAGTAGCTATAATAATGAAGGTGAAGGTGAGGTTTTAATTTCCTTGTAGTTCTGAATTGTTTCCCTAATGGATCATGTAGAACTTTTTTTTAATATTTATAGTCATTTGCTTATTACCTTTGGATAAATGTCTATTCAGGACCTCTACCCAGTTTATGAAAAGATTGTTTTTGTTTCTGAATTGTAGGAATTGTCTATTCTAGATAATTCTGTATTAGACATATGATTTGTATAATTCCCCCTATTCTGTGGTATTGTTTGTGTGTGTGTGTGTGTGTGTGTGTGTGTGTGTGTGTGTGTGTGTGTGTGTGTTTGCGCACATGTACGCACGCATATGTCTGTAAACTCAAGGCCTTCTACTCTTGCTGGGCTTTTTTTGTTCATAGCTGGAGCTCTACCATTTGAACCTAGCCTCCAGTCCAGTTTTTTTCCTAGTTAATTAGGGATAGAGTTCCATGGGCTTTTCTGACCTTGCTATGATCCTCAGATCTCAACCTCCAGAGTAACTAATATTAAGGATTGAGCCACTAGCACCTCTTTTTTTGGCTGGTCCTGGGGCTTGAATTTAGGGCCTAGGTACTGTCCCTAAGTTTCTTTGTGACCAAGGCTAGTGCTCTACCATTTGAGCCACAATGCCACTTCCAGCTTTTTTGAGTAGTTTATTGGAGATAAGATTCTCATATGGACTTTTGCTCAGGCTGGCTTCAAACCACAATTCATTTTAAGTAAATTGTTTTTATATAATATGAGGTGCAAGGTTCAGCCTTGTAATTGTACATATGAATATCTAGTTTTACTAGCACTATTTTTTTCAAAGGTTGTCCTTTCCTTATTGAGTAGTCTTGGCACCACTTTCAAAATGCTTTTACTATTTATGCAAGAATTCCTTTCTATATTCTCCTATTCCACTTGTCTGTACATTTGTCTTTAGTAATACACTGTTTTGAATATCTTAGCTTTTATAGTAAGTTTTGAAATTAGAAAGTTTAACTACCAGCTTTGTTCTGTTTCAACAATGTTTGGCTATTTAGCATTTCTTGGTGTGTGTGTGTCTGTGTGTGTGTGTGTGTGTGTCTGTGTGTCTGTGTGTCTGTGTGTCTGTGTGTATTTTGCTCAGAGTTAATACCAGGGCATTGGTCTGTTTCAACAATGTTTGGCTATTTAGCATTTCTTTTTGTGTGTGTGTGTGTGTGTGTGTGTGTGTGTGTGTGTATTTTGCTCAGAGTGTGTGTGTGTGTGTGTGTATTTTGCTCAGAGTTAATACCAGGGCATTGGGATGTTTGGCAAATGCTAGGGATTACTTTACATCTCAACCCTTGGAGGATTTTTTGTTGTTGTGGGTTTGTTTTGTTTTGTATTGTTTTTCTGGGGATTTTAGGGATGTATGTATGCCAGTCTTGAGGCTTCAACTCAGAACCTGGGCACTGTCCCAGAGATAGTACTCTACCACTTGAGTCACAGCTCCACTTCCAGCTTTTTTGGCAGTTGAGATAAGAGTCTCATGGACTTTCCTACTTAGGCTGCTTCCTGAGTACCTAGGATTAGGGGCATGAGCCACTTGTGCCCAGCAATCAACCTTTGATTTTTAAAGATACAGCTTTACTATGTAGTCCAGAGCTTTTTTTTTTTTTTCAGACTTTGATGACCTACTATCTTCTGGTCTCTAATTTCTTATGATAAATTTGATTTTTTTTTTGCTTTGTTTTGTTTTACCATTCCTGGGGGCTTGAACTTGGGGCCTGGCCTCTGTCCTTGAGCCTTTCTGTGTTCAAAACTAGTGTTCTACCACTTGAACCACAGTACTACTTCCAGCTTTTTCTGTTTATTTGGTACTGAGGAATCAAAACCAGAGCTTCAGCATGCTACACAACCACTCTACCACTAAGCCACATTCCCAGCCAAATTTGATAATCTTATTGACTAGCCTTTCTGAGTAATAAATCTCTTTTCTTGCTGCTGGTTTTTTTGTTTTGTTTTGTTTACTTTTTGCCAATCCTTGGGTTTGAATTTAGGGCTTGGGCACTGTCCCTGAACATCTTCTGCTAAAGGCAACTTGAGCCATAATACTACTTCCAGGCTTTTCTGAGTAGTTTATTGGAGATGAGAGTCTCATGGACTTTCCTGTCCTGGCTGGCTTGGAACTGTGATCCTCAGATCTCAGCCTTCTAAGTAGCTAGGCTTACAGGCTTGAGCCACCAGCACTTGGCTTTCCTTGCTGTTTTTAACCTTTGCTTATGGAGATAGTTTTTCTATTTGTTTATATTAGAAGGTTAACAAGGATTTACTTAATAAGTAGGATAAAATAGAAATAAAAGAAAGGTGAAAGGAAAGATCTGTTTCTCCTGCAGGAGATGAGAGTGAAGAAGATTAAAAATCTGTGTTTCTTCACTCCTGTCCAAGTTCATGTTGAATATCATCTAGCTCTGTGGCCATTTTGCAACCCTCATTATTTTACAAAATTTCTAGTCATGGAGACAGTGAACTTAAGGTATATTTATTGCCCAAAACCTGGCCAAAATAGATCTTTGTTGCAGGGAAAAATATCTTTTGTGTAGGTGTTGGGTGTATGTGGGTGTGTATGCATGCATGTACACATGTATGTATGTATATGCTGGTACTAGCGCTTGAAATCAGGGCCTTGTGCTCTCACTTGACTTTTTTGCTCAAGGCTATTGCTCTACCACTTGAGCCACAGCTCCACTTATAGCTTTTTGCTGGTTGGAGATGAAGTCCACAGAATTTTCTACCTAAGCTATCTTTAAACCAGAATCCTTAAGCTGGGCACTAGTAGATCACACCTGGAATCTAGCTACTCAGGAGGTTGAGAATCATGGTTTAAAGCCAGCTGGAACAGAAAGACCTGTCTTTCATTTCATTCTTTGTTCTTTTTTCCTTCTTTTGTGGGTTTGAACTCAAGACCTCACAACTTGCTAAGCAAATGCTCTACCCTTTGAGTCATGCCCCTAACCCTTTGATATTTTCTGATAGAGTTCTTTTCCCAGATTAGCCTGAACCACTATCTTCCTTATTCCTGAATAAGCAAGTGTGCACCAACACATTCTATTTTTTCATTGAGGTGCATTCTTACTAGCTTTACTTCTGGCCTGAAATTGTTATCCTCCCAATATCTGCTTTTGGGCAGTTTAAATTACAGGCATGCACCTGGTTCTACTCTACTTTTTTTTTTTTAATCAAACTGTGTTTCAGAGTAACCAAAATAGCTCTAAACAGGTACCAGTGGCTAATACCTATATTCCTAAATAATCAGTAGGCTGTGATCAGAGCCAGCCTAAGCAGACAATTCTACAAGAATTTTATCTCCAATTAACTAGCAAAAAGCCTAAACTGGAGGTATGACTAATGTAGTAGAGCACCAACCATAAGCAAAAACTAGGCACTTGTAGCTCATGCCTATGTAATCCTAGCAATTCAAAAAGGTTGAGATCTGGAGGCCAGAAAACTGCCAGAGTCCATCTCCATAATAACCAATAGGGCTGTAGGCATGGCTTAAGTGGTAAAGCACCAGTCTAGCAAACATGAATCCCTCCTGTCTATATATAAATCCTCATCCATGGAAGGGACGCTATGTTTAGATAATCAGCATTTTTGTTTCAAAAATACGATTTAACACCAGTTAGTAAGACCATTAGTTAAAAGTTTGATGGGGGAAGTGAATCTGTGGTTCCAGTGAGAGTGCTAACCTTGAGCAAAAAAGCTCACGGACAGCATCCAGGCCCTGTGTTCAAGCTCCAGGAATGGCAGTGTGGGGTCAGGTGGTCACCACTTCAATCCAGTAATCATTTTTGGCATAAGTAACAGTGCAATACCCCAACACTGAGCCTCCTGGCTTGCCACTTTAGCAGTGCATGCTTGAAGTATGAAGGGAGGGGGAAAAAATTGGAATTTGCCATAAATACATCATAAAAAAGAAGGGGGCACAATATGAAATAAGAATGATAAGATCTTGATATTTGCTAAATATAGGCGATGGGTATCTGGAAATTCAATATACTGTTATTTTTTTTTCTTATAGAAAATTTTTAAATCACACTGATGTTTTGAGGTTGACAAAATTGAAAATAAATGATTGTCAGTCAATGATAATCGTTGGTTGTGCCTGTGTTTCCCAGTAGTATAAAGTTACAAAATTAATGATTATGTCCTTTTGACAGATCTTTCCCTAGACCATTCTGACCTAGTTGCAGAGTTGTTGAAGGAATTGTCTAACCACAATGAACGTGTAGAAGAAAGAAAAATTGCCCTCTATGAACTGATGAAACTAACACAGGAAGAGTCTTTCAGTGTTTGGGATGAGCACTTCAAAACGATACTACTTTTATTGCTGGAAACTCTTGGGGACAAAGAGGTAAATGGCAGAATACTTAAGCCATAGTCTATATCCTGCTTTGCTTTGCTTTCCTGCATTCATTCATTTTTTTGTTCTGCTGGGTCTTGAACTTAGTTTTCCTGAATAATAGGTATATACTCCCATCATAGCTTCACCTCCAGCTCTTGTTTTTCTTCATAGGTTGTCTATTAATCAAATACTACACAATTGTCTATTACCCAAATAATACACATATTCGAAAATTTGGAAGATGAATCTATTCTGCTGCTGTCCCTGCATGAAATTTTTCTCTAAGCCAAATAGCTCAGCAATTTTGAACAGTTGACCACAGCAAAAATGAAAAATGGAAGCCCAATTTTTGTGGAAAAGTACAGGTTGCCTGTTCTGTGCATTTAAATTTGTTTTTCAGAAGCACATCTTTGTCTTATAGTCTAATATAGTTCTCAATTTCTTAGAAATTTAAAAGGTGAGATTAGTTTTCAAGTAGAGATGTTAGAATTGTATAATAAGTAACATACTTTATACAATGGTCTAGTTTTCCTCCTCTCAACATTAAGATGCTTAAGTTGTTGAAATTGATGTTAGAAATTGCCTGCAGGTTGACAGGGTCCTAAGATGGCTGCCAGGCAACCATTTCCTGACCAAAGAAAGGATGTGGAGTTGGCTACTGCTGAAAATGATGTTGAGTCAAATTCTGAAAATGAAGCCATACTGAGAATTCTGAATTTAACTTACAAGAAGTTAAAGAGGATGGGACCAGGAAGAAATCAGATGCCTCAGATTTCCCAAAAGATGAACCAGAAACTTAGCGAAAGGTCCAGGCAAATATATATGCAGAGTACCCTTCTGGAATTCCCATAAACATGTGGAACATTTTCAAGAATTGCATAAAAACATTCTGAACAGAAAACTTAGCCTCAAGATCCAGAGGGAGATAAAGTGCTCCAGAAAAGATAAGCTGAAGAATGAAAAAGTCTCATAGTGAACAATCCTTGAATGAAGCCCAATGGAAAGAGCATACCCAGTATTTTGGAGCCAGTGACTCAGTATTTCAGAACCAGTGATAGATCTGAACCTCCTGTGAAAAAAGAAAAAAGTTGAGAAGTCAGGTCTTGAAGATAGACCAGGCTGTGAAGGAGTAGGATATTGAAAAAGCTGTAAAACTCAGCAACCAACAAGCTACTCTAGAGCTTGGTGTAAAAATTACCAAAGCATTGCCTGCCTCAATAGAAGACAAAATTTATGGAAGCCAAAAAGGAAGCTGAGGGCTGGGAATGTGGCTTAGTGGTAGAGTGCTCACCTAGCACGCATGAAGCCCTGGGCTCGATTACTCAGCACCACATAAACAGAAAAGGCCAGAAATGCCACTGTGGCTCAAGTGGTATTGTGCTATCCTATAGCAAAAAGAAACAGGGACAGTGCCCAGGGCATGAGTTCAAGCCCTAGGACTGGTGGCTCACGCCTGTAATCCTAGCTACTCAGGAGGCTGAGATCTGAGGATCGCAGTTCAAAGCCAGCCCGGGCAGGAGAGACCGTGAGACTCCTATCTCCAATAAACCACCAGAAAACCGGAAGTGGCGCTGTAGCTCAAAGTGGTAGAGCGCTCGCCTTGAGCTGAAGAGCTGAAGGACAGCACCCAGGCCCAGAGTTCAAGAAAAAAAAAAAAAAAGGAAGCTGAAAATTCATAAGCTGCTCAAAAGAAGAAGCTGAAATTGGGAGTTTGAAGCATAGAAGAGATGGGAAACCAAAAGCAACATGGGATATGTGTAACCATGCAGAGCTCAGAATACTTAGACTCACATGCTCAAATTAACAAGACTTTCCTGCTTAAATATGTTGGATTGACAGAAGTAGGAAATTGATAGAAATAAGGGGAATAATGTGCATAAAACTTGGGAATTGTTTACCAACTCTTGGACTTTCCTAAAGAATTTATTCTTGAAGTGAATACTTTCACTATTTGTGTAAGAAATCTGAGCATACACAGAAAGAAAAAAGGAAGGGTTTTTTTTGTTATTTATTTATCTGCATAAACCTTCAGTCTAAAATTAATCTGCTTTTCATATGTCTGGTGTAGCATAGCCAATGAGGCTCTTGTACTTTCTTATCTGTTCTAGGCATAGCTACACTTTTTCTGGAATGGTGGTTTTAAAATTGTGACTGTCTTTACAAATAATTTTATGTCATAAAAACAATTATTCATTCCTTCTTGAAGGCAGTAAAATTTTTAGGTGGTCCTTACCAGAGAGTATGTATAGTTATATTAAACAGATAATTTAACTCCAAATAACAACTGAATCATCCAATCATCCAAAATATTATTGCCTGCCATCCAAAATATTAAAAAAACATTTCAATGTTTCTCTTTAGCCTACAATCAGAGCTTTGGCATTAAAAGTTTTAAAAGAAATTCTAAGGCATCAGCCAGCAAGATTTAAAAACTATGCAGAACTGACTGTCATGAAAACATTGGAAGCACATAAAGACCCTCATAAAGAGGTGAGTTACCTGTTTTATTCTCTTCCTGTTATTTCATGAACGATGTAAACACTGCATAGAAGCTACCTTTATTTAATCATTTCCTCGATGGATATTCAAAGTGATACTTTACTCAGATCCATGCATATATTCTTTTCTAGCACAAGAATTACAATATCATGGCCTTTTTCCTATATAATGTACTTTTTTTTGTATATTTAGTTAGCTTTTCCTCAGTGTGACCAGATACTTAAGTAAAACGACTCAAAGGGGAAAATTACTTATATTGACTCCTGATTCCAGAGGGTTCACCCAACCCATGGTCTTTTTGTCCTTGGGGCTTGGACTGGTCACAGAGGCAAGATGCCAAGGCAGAAGAAAGATGGTCATGTCTAGCACACAGGAAGCAGAAAAATGAGAAGGGGCCAGAAACAAGGTACCACAAGGACTCACCCCAGCTAGGCCCCCACCTCCCAAAGTTTCCACAGCCTCCCAAAATAGTACCACCAGCTATGGCCCAAGCCTATGAGCCTGTGAGGAGATGTCATATTCGACCATAACAATCTGATTTTGTTTTCTTCTTCATTTTGCTTTAATTTTCTGTCTTAACTTTCCACTTAGCAATACAAATTGGATTTTTTAATGTAACAAATGAAGGTAAAATCATGTTTATTTTAAATAGTATATTGCTTATAGGAGATAGGAGTTTGTTGTGAGGACAGATTTTTAAGAATCTTTTTTAAGAATCACTTTTAAGAATCATGGCTGAAGGGTGAAGGGTAAACAAAAGGAGGAGGCTGCAATGCTTGGTAAGAAATGTACGCATTATCCTGCCCATGTAATTGTAACCCCTCTGTACAGTATCTTCACAAATAAAATTAAAAAAAAAAAATCATGGCATCCTATCTTTCTGTCAGTAACACTGATGAGTTACCATGAGGATTTTTATTATAATCTTATAAATAATTAGAAAAGGAGGGCGGGGAAGGTGGCTCAGTGGTAGAGCGTTTGCCTTGCATGCATGAGGCCCTGGGTTCGATTCCTCAGCACCACATAAGAAAAAAGAAAAAAAAAGCCGAAAGTGGTGCTATAGCTCAAGTGGTAGAACACTAGCCTTGAGCTGAAGAGCTGAGGGACAGCGCCCAGGCCCAGAGGTCAGGCCCCACAACCGGACCCAAAAAAAAAAAAAGAAAAGAAAAGAAAAGGAAATTTCAAATAGGATGCTGCAATGCTTTTTGCAAGAAAGCATACATGTGTTAGCATTAGATGTCTGTGGTCAAACCAAGACATTAGCAAAACACAGGCCAGAAAAGAAAGTTAAAATAGTGATAAAGTGAAATGGTTCAAAGCTAAATGCAAGAGTTAAAATGATAAAAATCTCAGAAGCAGCAGTAAGATTTTTGTTACGTGGACTATGTAGTAGTAGTTTCTTAATATAAAATGCAGAAGCAACTACTGGGGAAAAAACATAAATTGAACCTTAGCAAAATTAAAAGGTTTTGTACTTCAAAAAATTAAGGAAGCTGGGCACCAATAGCTCACGCCTATAATCTTAGCTACTCAGGAGGCTGAGGCCTCCTACTCTGAGGATCGAAGTTCAAAGCCAGTCCAGGCTAGAAAGTCTATGAGACTCACTATCTCCAGTTAACTACCAGAAAGCTTGAAAGTGGCACTGTGACTCAAAGTGGTAGAGCACCCTAAGTCATAAGTCAGGTAATGAGTGCAGTTCTTTTAGGACAGTGTCACCCCTCCCTTCACCTTCCCCAGTTCCCCCTCCCATCTGTGCCCACACAAATTGCATAGTTCATTTTCCACATAGTATATTCTGAATACCATGACTGCATTTGTTCACTCTTCCTCCATTTCTGTACCTCCATTTGCTACCACAGAAAGACCAAATGGAGTAGGGAGGGAGCAAAAACAACAGCAAAAGAAAAAAGTATTTCCATTTTCTGGAATTTGTTTTGATAAATAGTACTTTAAATGTTCAGAGTAGTTGTGCCTTTGGGTTCCTTCCCTAAGATTATCCCCCTAAGTCTGACTGAGAAAAAACCAAATATTTAAGTGGTACAAGATCATAGTAGACATTTTTCAAAAAAGAAATGTAAATGACAATAAACACAAAAAGATACCACCATCATTAGTCAGTAGGAATGTGCAACTCAAACCCTTAAGGACAGGCAAGAAGAAATGATAGTGAGGAGATGGGAAAATTGAAACTCTAAGAGTAATTTATTTTTTAATCTGGATTTTTATAACATAATATCAAATATTTATTGTTCTCTCCCCCCCTCTTTTATTTTTTATTTATTTATTTTTTTGGCCAGTCCTGGAGTTTGAACTTAGGGCCTGGGTACTGTCCCTAAGCTGCTTTTGCTCAAAGTTAGCACTCTACCAGTGGAGCTACCGTGCCACTTCTGGCTTTTTTTATGTAGTACTAAGGAATCAAACCCAGGGCTTCATGAATGCTAGGCGAGCACTCTACCACTAAGCCACACTCCTAGCCCTAATGTTTATAGTTCTGACCCAAATAAGACCTTTAGCATTTCTGTTTTTACAAAATATAAAATAGGTCTTTTTAAGATGTCACAACTGAAATGAGCTTTGACCTTTCTGACTTAGTGCATTTTTTGCTGTACCTTTTTAAATACTTTTCACTAGTTGATATGTGAGACACTGGCAAAGAATCATCAAAAGCATAGATGTTTATTTTGTTTTTACATTTTTGTTTTAGGGTTTTTTTGAGGGGGAGGCTGAGGGATCAGTCCCTGGGTAGGACCTGGGCACTATCCCTAAGCTTCTGTGCTCAAGGCTAGCATGCTACCACTTGAGCCACAGGTCCACTTCCAGCCTCTTGATGCTTAATTAGAGATAAGAGTTTCATGCTTTCCTGCCCAGGATGGCTTTGAACTGGGATCCTCAGATCTTAGCCTTTTATTTTATTTTGGGTCCTGTCGTGAGTCTGAACTCTGAGCCTGGGCACTGCCCCTCAGCTCTTCAGCTCAAGGCTAGCGCTCTACCACTTGAACCATAGCACCACTTCCGGCTTTTTTTTTTTGCTTATGGGTGCTGAGGAATCGAACCCAGGGCCTCAAGCATGCAAGGCAAGCGCTCTACCACTGAGCCACCTTCCCAGCCCAGCAAATGTGTTTTATCTGTACTCTGACTTATGGTTATCTGTGTACTGCAGTATTTTCCAAGCAAATCCCAAATACCATGTCCTGTTAAATGTATACTTTTAAGACATACTAAGAGTTAAGAAATAATTTCCTGGCTTAATTTATTTTAGGTGGTGAGGTCTGCTGAGGAAGCGGCATCAGTGCTGGCCACCTCTATTAGTCCAGAGCAGTGCATCAAAGTGCTGTGCCCTATCATTCAGACTGCAGACTACCCCATTAATCTGGCTGCAATCAAAATGCAAACAAAGGTGATCGAGAGAGTATCCAAGGAAACCCTTAACCTACTCCTACCAGAGATTATGCCAGGCCTAATACAGGTAAGCAGTAAAGCTTGAGGGAATGAGCTGTGTACATCCAGGCTTCAGTTACGTCAGGCTTTTTAAATACATAATCTTGTGGTATTCAATATTTATTTACAAAACTTTTTTTTTTTTTTTGCCAGTGCTGGGTCTTGAACTTGGGGCTTGGGCATTGTCCCTGAGCTTCCTTCACTCAAGACTGGCACCCTACCACTTAAGCCACAGCACCATTTCCAGTGTTTTCTGCTTATGTGGTGCTGAGGAATCAAACCCAGGGCTTCATGCATGCTAGACAAGCACTCTACTACTAAGCCACATTCCCAGCCTTCACAGAACGTTTGTATCATCTTAAACTAAATCTCTCTACCCATTAGTGAGCAATACCCCATTCTTTCCCTCAAGACCTCACTAATATTTATTCTACTTTCTGCTTCTAATAGGTACCTGTTCTAGATTTCTCATATTTGTGAAATCACAAATATTTATCCTTTTGTGCTCAGCTACTTTAATTTAGTAGTGTTTTCAGGGGTCATCACTTCTTTTTATTCTATTGTTGTTTCCTATTTATATTAACATAACTACTATGATGATGATTATTATAATTTACCTTGTAAATCTAGAAACAAATCTGTGGTCAGATTCCTCTCCAAAGTAGTTTTACTAACATACATTATAGATGTAACTTGTGGATATAACCATTTTAGGAAAAGGTGCGATTTTATATACATACATACATACATACATACATATATATATATATATATATATATAAGTTTGCTTGTTTTTGTCAGTTGTGGGATTTGAACTCAAGGTCTAGGTGCTGTCCCTGCGCTTTTTCACTAGTGCTTTACCACTATGAGCCACATCACCACTTCCAGTTTTCTGATGGTTAATTGGAGATAAGAATCTCATGGACTTTCCTCCCTGGGCTCACTTTGTACCTCAATCCTCAGGGCTCGGCCTGCTGTGTAGATAGGATACTGGTGAAAGCACCAGCACCTGGCTTGGGATTGTATTTTATTTTATAACATGCTTTAACTTAACTATATGTTGTGAGCTTTGTCCATCCTGATAAATAACAGTCTACAATGTAACTTTAATGGATGGTTAATATTATATACAGTGCCTATTATGACCTTTCCTATAGTATTATATTATTCTGTTCTAAGTTTTATTGCTCACTAAATTATAAGATCCTAGATGTCCAAACCTCTTTCTTATCTATGTTTTGATACTAACTACAGATGTATACAATGTGCATATGTGGTATACATTATAAATACTGATTAAATGTTTGGTGAATAATTTACAGTATGAAAGTACTAAGAGTCCTTGTGGCTTTAAGTTTCTGTAAAATTCTTAACTCCCTTTAATTAACCTGGTGTAAAACCATGTAGTTTATGTAACTATTAGAAACCTTTTTAAAAAGCATAAGAACTCTAGTGATCTTAAGGTTTACTTTTTGCTTTGCCAAAAATCATTGAAATTAGAGTATATGTATTAGGACATAGGATAGACAAGTGGCAATACCTATCAATGTAGTTTTTGCATTGCTCAAGGCTAGCACTCTACCACTTGAGCCACAGTGCCCCTTCTGGCTTTTTCTGTGTGGTACAGAGAAATTGAACCCAGGGCTTCATGCATGCTAAGCAAGCACTCTACCATGAAAGCCATATTCCCAGCTCATCTCAAAGCTTTTTAACCAAAATTCCCTTCACTGAGCACTTTGGATTACATACAGAAAAAAGGAAAAAAAGATTAGAGGAAGGTGTCAAGTTCTCTTTGGATTTCAGTGGTTTGAGAAAGCACGAAAGAAAGCTGAAAGTTAACTTTTAAGAACTTGGGGCCAGAATTTGTGGCTTAGTGGTAGAGTGCTTGCCTAGCATGCATGAAGCCCCTGGGTTTGATTCCTCAGTACTACATACACCAAAAAAGCTGGAAATGATGCTGTAGCTCAAGTGGTAAAGTGGTAGCCTTGAGCAAAAGAAGCTAAAGTACAGTGCCCAGGCCCTGATTTCAAACCACAGGACTGGCAAAAAACAAAACCAACTTGAAGCCAGCTAAATGTAGTACACACCTGTAACCCTAGTGACTCAGGAGGCAGCAATTGGGATGATTGGCTTACGGCTAGCCTAGGCAAAAAGTTCTAGCAACCATGGCCTCCCCTCCCCCCGCACACACACACAACACATTAACGGAAAGAAATTTGGTGCAGTGATGTATATTATCCCAGGAAATGTAAATAGGAGAACCACAGACCAGCCCAGGCAAAAAGCAAGACCTTGTTCAAAAATAAATGCAAAAAGCACTAGAAGTATGTCTCAAATGGTAGAGCACCTACTTTGCAAGTGCAAGCACTGCTCCCCTCCTCCCCCACCCACCAGAAAAATACAACCTGGACTAAAAGAGTGCATATTAGAGAAGTTGGAGGTGAAGGCAGAAGCACTTGGAGTAGAACAGGTCTACAAGGTGGCCTGAATCCATAGAGCTCTTGAAATTGCAAATGTTTCCTTGTGGAACAGGTTGCTCGTGTAGAACTGCCTTGGAACACTGAGCCTCACAAGTAGTGCTGCAACAGAACTAGCTATGCACAAAGGCCACATTAACAAAAGAAGAATCCAATAAAAGAAAAGCTAGAAGAATTTATGGGGCTGGGAATGTGGCTTAGTAGTAGGGTGCTTGTCTAACATGCATGAAAGCCTAGGTTCCATTCCTTAGTACCACAAAAGCAGAAAAGGCTCGAAGTTGTGCTGTGACTTAAGTGGTAGAGTAGTCTTGAGTACAGAGAGGCTCAGGGACAGAGCCCAGGCCATGAAATCAAGCCACAGGGCCAGCCAAAATAAAAAAGGAAGAGGAGGAGGAAGAAAAGGAAGAAGGAGGAGGAAGAGAAGGAAAAAGAGAAGGAGGATGAGAAGAAGAAGGAGAAAGAAGGAGGAGGAGAAGAAAAAAGGAGAAAGAAGAATTTATAGCCCAGCCCAAATCCCTAACTAGAAAGCTTCTCCCAAAATATAGAATGTACAAAACCCATTTCACTTACACAAGTGACAGGAAAGGATTATGGGGGCAAACCCCATGAAAAACTATTTGTCCCTCCCCCTTAAAAAAGAAGCTACTGCTGATGGCAGATCATAATTTAAAGCTATCCTTAGCAAGAAGTCCCTGAGATTCTTATCTTCATTTAACCACCAAGAAAGCAAAACTGAAACAGTGACTCAAGTGGTAAAAGCTCAGAGACAGCACCCAGGGGCCCTGAGTTCAAGCCCCAGGACTTGCACCAAAAAAAAAAAAAAAAAACATAAAAAGAGGAAGAAGACAGTAGGGTGTGGTGTTGTGGCTTAAGCCTCAACTCAGAGGAAGGGCAAGTTCACAAGACTCCATTTGAACAAATGACTCTGCAGTGGTACACACTGTTTCCCAGCTGTTTTGGAAACTCAATGGCCAGTTAACACTGGTGCATACCTGTAATCTCAGCTAAGGCAAGCACAGATAGGATCACAGTCCAGGCTAACCCCAGGCTAGCAATGCAAAAAGGGCCTTGGAGGTATGGCTCAAGTGGCAGAGTGTCTAACAAGCACAAGGTCCTGAGTTCAAACCCTAGTACCACCAAAAGACAAAGAGAGAGAGAGAGAATAGAAAAACATGACCACAACATAAATGAAAATTTAAACCCAAGTTTAAGAAACAAAGTAAAAAGGAAAAAAATGTAAGTAACAGTAAACACTAATGAAAAGCATGAATCAGAACTTTTAAAGTTTATTAAAAGAGATATCAGGGTTGGTATTGTGGTACATGCATGTAATCCTAGCTAGTCTGGAAGCATAGGTCTGTAGAATCTTGGTTTGAGACAGCCTGGGAAAAAGTTAGCAAGACTTCATTTCAATTAACAAGTTAGGCATTATGATGGTACACACCTATAATCCGACCTAGGAGAGACATAGATGAAGAAAACTGTTCTAAGGCTTACCCTAGACAAAAAAAAAAAAGGATGAGGCCCTATCTAAAGCAGTAACTAAAGCAAGCTGTGGCTTATGCTTACAATCCTTCTACAAGAGAGGTTGAGATCCAGAGGATAGTTCAAGAGCAGCCTAGGCATACAAAAGACCCCTTCTCAATAGCTGGGTACTACCACTGGAAACCTAAAATCAGTAGATTGCATTCCTGCACATACCTGGGCAGGAAGCACAGGATAGTTACCTACAAAGCCAACACAAAAAAGGACTGGAGACATGACTCAGTGGTACAGCACCTGCCTAACAAGTACAAGGCTCCTATATCTAAACCCCAGCACCACAAAAAAAATAGAAATATATAAAAGGGATATGGTTTAAAGGGGATGGCCTAGCAAATTCAAGGAAAGTCTCTAGTGGTAAACATCCTAAAAATGAAAGAGATACTACATGTAGATACAACGATAACTTGAATTCAGTATATTTGTAGTATGAAAATATTGATTTAGGAATAGGAATACCAATATGATAAAACAAATAATGTCTCTTAGGAGAAGAACACAAAGGCACAATATCTGTGTGCATCTGATCACATAAAATAATATTTGTGCCAGGCTCTGATAGCTCACACCTGTAATCCTAGCTACTCAGGAGGCTGAGATCTGAGGATCACAGTTCAAAGCCAGCCCAGGCAGCAAAGTCCGTGAAACTCTCATCTCCAATTAACTACCAGAAAACCAGAAGTGGTACTGTGGCTCAAGCAGCAGAGTGCTAACCTTGAGCTAAAGAGCTGAAGGACAGCGCCCAGGCCCAGAGTTCAAGCCCCACTCAAGAGGCTGAGATTTGAGGATCATGGTTCAAAGCCAGCACAGGCAGGAAAGTCCCTGAGACTCTTATCTCCAATTAACCACCAGAAAACTGGAAATGGAGCTGTGTCTCAAAGTGGTAAAGCATTAGCCTTGAGCAAAAGAGCTTAGGAATAGGGCCCAGGCCCTGTGTTCTAGCCTCAGAGATAGATAGATAGATAGATAGATAGATAGATAGATAGATAGATAGATAGATAGATAGATAGATAGATAGATAGATAGATAGATAGATAGGTAGGTAGGTAGGTAGGTAGATAGATAGATAGATAGATAGATAGATAGATAGATAGATAGATAGATAGATAGATAGATAGAATCAAAATCAACTCCAGGATTTTTAAAAATATGTCACAAAATAAAATTAGTCAATCTTAACATTGAATTAGATATGTCAGAATGAAATTGTTACTCAGTTTCTTTAAAAAAAAATTATGCCAGGTATAATGACTATAATCCTGGCTACTTGAAAGGTGGCTTGGACAAAGATGAGCATCCATCTAAAAATAAAATACAAACAAAAGGGCAGAGGGTTTGGCTCAAGGAGTAAACAGCCTGTCTAGCAAACTAATTTCAATAACCCCAGTATCATATATAAGCTAATAGCACATAGAAAAAAATGTTAGGTGAAAAGATGAGAGGTTACCCAAACATCATCAGAAGTAGAATAACTCAATATGCATCTTCCCATGGGATGCACCACTCCAATGGACATCCCCCCCCCTTTTTTTTTTTCTGTTGTTGAGCTTGAAATCAGGGCCTCTTTGTGCTCAAGGCTAGCACTCTGCCACTTCCAGTTTTTGAGTCTTTATTGGAGATAAGATTCTCACAGAGACTTTTCTGCCCAGGCCAGAAAACCGCAGCCTCCTGAGTAGCTAGAATTACAAGGTGTGAGCTACCAGTGCCTGGCTACATTTTCCTTTCTGAAAGCCCTAGAACCTGAATCTCAAGACTCTAGACTTAATTGTCAACATTCAGAGCATGGAATTACTAAATTGTGCAGTTATGCTATTTAGTCAAATCTAGAATATATGAACTGCTGTAAGAAAAATTACCAACTTTATTGAGTAGAGAAATTAGATGAATGAAAGAGAGTAGTGATACAAATTACTTAAAGGTTTAGAGTGCTAAACGTACAGTCCACTTGAAAAGGATATACTAAAATAGAGGACTAACTTCGGATTTCAAAACCTACAGGCTTCAGAAATGAAGACAGCAGACAGAGTCTGCACTTAGCCCCTCCGATGTTCTCATCCTTATCCTACTCCCTTCTGCCACGGGAGTCCAGAACTCTTCAGGAAAGAGTTAGTGTGCATCTCATCATCATGTTCGTGGCATGGCTTACCTGGCTGGCTCTTATCACATAACAAGCACTTAAATATTGGAACATTGAGTGCAATATTCTTGGCAATGTTTTTTGTAATAGGAAAAAAAAATAGCAAAGAGGGAAGTTGTCAGGGAGGAGACTTAATCCTACAACATTCAGACTAAGGGTCTAGTTCAGTAGTAGATTGCTTACTTATCATGCACAAGGCTCTAGGTTCGATCCCCAGCACCAGAAACAAAACAAAAATATTAAATTTACCAGCCAAATGCCAGTGGCTCATGCCTGTAATACTACTACTCAGGAGACTGAGATCCAAAGCCCAGGTAAGAAAGTCCATGAGTCTCTTTTGTCCAATTAATCACAGAAAAAGCAAAGAAATTGTTCTGTGGCTCACGTGGTAGGTAGAATGCTAGCCTTGAGCAAAAGTTGCTCAGAGACAGTACCCAGGCCCAGAGTTCAAGCCCAGGCTCTGCAAAAAAAAAAAAAAAAATTAAATTTACAACATTGTAGAATGGTTAAATTAGGATGCATGCTAAATAGATATTACATAGACTGTAGAAAAATTATAAGAATTGTAATTGAATCTACAATTATAATTTAATTAGATAACTTTATAAAATTATAATTTCTTACAAAATACAAAAAATAAAGTATGTATAGTTTGTTTATGCCTTTTATCATGAAGAATACATTTTTGCAATCATTTTAGAAAATGGTCACAATTTTGGTAGAGGTGAACTTTATTTTCCCCTGGGTAAAATGTTTATATACTCAAAAATACATACTGAGTAAGATTTTTGTGGAATGTTGGGAGAGAGTAGTATGATCAATGCATAAGGGATACAGACTCAGCTGTTGTGGTGGAACAGATGAAAGACCATTAGGCCTGGGTTATAAGAATACCTTGAGTTGCCAAACCTAAGAACCACATTTTACTAGATAGTGGAGAGCTGTTGACCTAAAGCTATGTGCTCTAAGAAGGTGCTCTGGAAAGTTGGAGATGGATTAGCAAACCAGGCAGCTTCTGAGGTGGGCTGTGCAGCTTATCAGGGAGAGCCTAACAGGGCAGATGATAGTGGAGTGTGGTGGATGTTGGGGGACAGAGAATTTACCTTAGATCAGCAGGGTTTCTCTCCTCCATACATCATTTTCTTAAATCCCTCAGGAGTACTAACGGTGGAACTTTTCTCCCTAGGGTTATGATAATTCGGAGAGCAGTGTTCGGAAAGCTTGTGTCTTCTGCCTAGTAGCTGTTCATGCAGTAATTGGCGATGAGCTAAAACCACATCTCAGTCAACTCACTGGCAGTAAAGTAAGTAACACTGTATGGTTTTAACAGTAACAACTATAACACTTAAAGTCTTTGTCCTGAATATATGTTAAACAATAAGATTTCATAAGTCAGGCTTTGAACACCCACTGCCCTTATTCATCCAATTCTTCCTTTTGGTTCTTCCCTCTGGCATGTGTCACTCAGGTAAAGTGATGGGCACATTACTGAAGGGAAAATGCCTACAGTTCATGTGTTGTTTGTTGTTGTTGTTGTTATTTTGCCAGTCATGGGGCTTGAACTCAGGGCCTGGGCACTGTCCCTGAGCTTCTTTGAAGAAGCTCAAGGCTAGCACTCTACCACTTGAGCCACAGCACCACTTCCAACTCTTTCTGTTTGTGTGTGGTACTGAAGAATTGGACCCAGAACTTTATGCATGCTAGGCAAACACTCTACCTCTAAGCCACATTCCCAATCTCAGTTCATGGTTATTTCTAACAGTTGACTGACTCCTTTCCATTCCAACACTCAAGCCATCATCCCCAATGCCTGTTGAAGAACAAATAGAGCCAGACACAGTGGCTCATGCATGTAATCCCAGCCAATCAAGAGGCAGAGATTGGGGAGAGCATGGTTCAAGACCAGCCCTAGCAAAAAGTCAGACCCCCCCACATCAACTAATAAGTTATGATACTGACACATGCCTGTCATCCCAGCTTTGTGGAAGGTATAAACAGGATAATTGTAGGCCAACCCCAGCAAAAATAAGACTAGACCTGAGGATATGTATCAAGTAGTAGAATACCTGCATATATCTCTGTTTCTCCTTAACTCTGATAATCATGGCTAGAAAGTCTGTGAGACTCTTATCTCCAGGTAACCACCAGAAAGTCAGAAATGGAGCTGTGGCTTAATGGTAGAGCACAACCTTGAGTGAAAAGAACAGTACTCAGGTCGTGAGTTCAAGCCCACAACCAACTAAAAATAAATAAAAATTTTGATAAAGAATTAAAATAAGTAAAAAAGAATTCACATATATGTAGCTGTTTTAGTGACCATCTCATCATACTGTAGAGCAGCTTGTTCGCATAACATGTGCTTGACTTAAATCCACAGATGAAGCTACTGAACCTTTATATCAAACGTGCACAGACGGGTTCAGGAGGGACCGATCCCACTACTGACGTTTCTGGACAAAGTTAGCACCAGTCATCAGTGAAGCAGGTCTCTCAAGGACAGACAGACCACCCTCATCAGTGAAAGGAAATTCTCAAAATACATCTTTTGGAACTTAACCATTGTTTCCCGGTTTTTGTTTTTTTGTTTCATTTCATTTTGTATTTTCTGTAACAGAGAGCTATCCTCAGTCTGCATGTAACTTTTATGATAGTTATTCCAAATTCAAAAAGAAGCAGTATTAACAATTGATCAATACAAAGTAATTTTTTAGTCTAACTCATCATTTCACATGTTTGTACTTCTTTGTCTTCCCATTAACCTTTGCCAGTGTTATGATTGTATAAATTTTTTTAAATACTGGTTAAACCGGAATGCTTAAAGCTTTAAAAGTTTTAACAGTCTAAAACATTTTTTGTCTTTATTCAACTGCAGAATAATATTTTTATTGCTACTTTGAGTTTTGTTCCATATCATGTCCTAGCTAGAAATATTATTAATGACGTGAAACAAAGCAGGACTGATTTGAACTTCAGCTGGACTCTGTTGGTATGATGGTGAGCCGTGTCATTAGTTGCAACTTCTTCGGGGTCATTTGTAGTTTGAAAATGAAGACCTGGAAGAGAAACATTACAGAATCAGCCAGTTCTGTAAAACTGCTGTTGTTTGTTGGTTATTGATCTTGCCATCATTATTTAAAACCATGTCCTATGATCCCTTCAGAAAGCTGCACCAAATCATCTGCCTGTTTTTTTCTTGATACTTGTTGAAATGGAAAGTTTCATTGCAGGGTTTTTGTGTTGTTTTTTTGTTTGTTTATTTTGTTGTGAATGATGCTTTTTTGTATTTATTAATATCAGATTCACTTATGAATAAACTTGATAATGGAAACAGACAAAAGAATCAAGTGCATGTGTGTCCTTGACTGTCTTCTGTTTCTCACTTAGTAAAACAAACTAATTATTGATATGGAGTCAACCAGCACTATTTCCTGAAAATGATGGAAGCTGGTTTTTTCTAACCATGAAAACATTGATCCTGATGAGAGAGAAGATGGTGCCAAGGCTGTCTTATAATAATGGGCTCAAATTCTCTACCTCTTCAGGGCTAATGCTTTTAACTGAGCTGCTGCCTGTAATATGTCTTTCAGAAAACTATTTAAAGGGTGATTTCTGTTACTTTTTAACAAAAATTTTAATCACCTTTTGCTAAACCTGTTCTTTTCATATGCAGCCGTCTTTCAAAAATGACCAGTTTCAGTGAAAGCCAACTGAAATCATTTGGAACCAGGATTCAATGATTTCTCATTTTGACTTTTTTTTAATTTAATTTTAACATGAAGTGAATTTGACTGGCAAGGCAAAGGTCTGTGAGAGGAGCAATTTGCTATTGTTACAGAGTTACCTGTACTATCTTTGTTTAATTGAAAAAAAAATGTAGAAATGTATGTAAAGAATCTAAGACAAGAGAACCGAATGGGTGATTTGTTATAGGCTTTTCCCTTCCTTTGTGTTCTAGCAGCAAGAAAAGACATTTCCCAATATTCTCTCCCCCTCACCTGTAACAGCTTTGTTTTTACTGTTAATTACGTTGTGTATTTATAGTTCAATGCTTACTGTTGTGCATATACTGGCAATAAAACTGTACATAACATTACTTGGAAAAGTTAATAATATATATTAGCTGTTTTTCTGTCTCGTGTAATGACTCACTTATGTAGGTTATGGGGTGGTTTTTGTTGGGTTTTGTTTTAACTTTAATAGGTACTTTATTAATGAAATTCTCATGAATTTTGTGTGCATCTGAGACAAAAAGGTCAGGAGTAGTCGCTCATTACAATGTATATAGGTACTTACGTATGTATATGCTACAACTTACCTTAAAGAAGTCATTCCAAACATTCAAGTTGTCTGAGTAGTGTTTTTTGTAACATGACCTTTAGTATGTTTTGTAGTCATTCTGAATTTGAATATTGACTTAATGTTGACCCCTGCTTTAAGGCATTGCATTAACTACTGTTGACAACCAAGTATGGTGATATAAGCTGAGTTACACTAACTGAAAAGTTAGATGGAGCACCTGACATCTAAAAACAACAGCCCAAGAAATGAATGAATCATGTAACAGAAAAAATGTAGCTTACTGTGCCTAAATGGAATGAAGGTTAATGGACATTAAGGTGAAAGTTCTGTAATGTTGGGGGTTGTGACTCAGTGGTAAAGCTCTTGCTTAACATGGTTCAATCCCCAGTGAAGATAGATAGATAGATAGATAGATAGATAGATAGATAGATAGATAGATAGATAGATAGATAGATAGAGATGATAGACAGACCAATAAATTCTATCATTTCTGTTGACAAGGGTAGAAGAAAAATACTGATTATTCAATAACTACTAAAAATACCTTTCATTTGTTCATTCCAGAAACAGACTTAGATGTCATTATGAATTAAAGTATGGTCAAAAAAAGCTACTGTTTATAATTTTTTCCTTCCACTTTTCTCCCAAAAACTAATAGGTCATTCATTTATTGCACTGATGAGAACTAATTAAAAGAATATTAAGCTAGCTGCCAGTGGCTCTAACTACCTAGGAAACTGAGATCTGGAGGATCATAGTTCAAAGCCAGACCAAAAAGTCTACAAGACTATCTCTTCAAAATAACCAGTAAAAAGCCAGACTGGAGGTGTGGTTCAAGTGGTAGAGTGTCATCTCAGCAAGCATAAAGCTCTTAAGTTCAAACCTCAGTATTCCGAAAAAAAAGTATTAAAAGCCATTTATCAACCAGGTGTATTAGGGTGCATCTGTGGTCCTAGCTACTTTGGATTCTGAGGCAGGAGAATAGTTTGAGCCCAAGAGTTGGAGTCTAGCCTGAGCAACAAGACACTTCCTCAACAATACATAAATGTATATATACACACATATATTCTAGATTATAAAACATGCTTCAAATTCAAAATCTATTACAGACTTTTTTTTTTGAGTCCGGTCATGAGGCCTGAACTCTGTGCCTGGGTGCTGTCCCTCAGCTCTTCAGCTCAAGGCTAGTGCTCTACCACTTGAGCCACAGCGCCACTTCTGGCTTTTTTTTTTTGCTTTTGTGGTGCTGAGGAATCGAACCCAGGGCCTCATGCATGCAAGGCAAGTGCTCCACCACTGAGCCACCTTCCCAATCCCTTCAGATACTTTTTCAAGTAAGATTAAAGTCTGAAGCTGAGGTTTGGAGTTAATCTATGTTACTTCAGCTTTTTTTTTTTCCAGTTGTGGGGCTTGAACCGTGGCTTGGGCACTGTCCTTGAGCTCTTTTACTCAAGGATAGTACTCTATTACTTGAGCCACAGCACCACTTCTGGTTTTCTAGTGGTTAATTGGAAATAAGAGTCATAGACTTTTCTTCCTAGCTGGCTTTAAACTACAGTCCTTAGATCTCAGCCTCCTAAGTAGCAAGGATTACAGGCATGCGCCACCAGTGCCCAGCTTCAGATTTCATTCTTACAAACTAAATCAAAATGACTTTTCACCATCAAGTATGTCTTTGTTTAAAAGGCTAGGATATTTTCAGCCATATTTGCTTGTATAGTCAAGTATATATTACAAACTTGATTAAGAATCACCTTTACAGTAAATAGAAATGAGAATAATTCCATAATACATGCAGTGTTTTTCATATTACCTTTTATATCTTTGTTATCTCCCCCTTCCCTACCTCCAGTAGTACTAGGGATTTGAATTCAGAGCCTTGCAGTTAGGCAGTCTATATAATTTAAGCTATTCCAACGAGTACAGTTTTCCATCTGTGAATTCAACTAGAATTTCAGCCAAAAAAAATTTTTTTTAAAGTTACCTTCCTTTTTGTAGACTACAGTGAAAATAATGAAAAGCTGAAAAAGAAAAATGTTACTTCTAAAATGGCTACTTAAGATTCTTATCTGTATTGCTGGGTGCCTGTGGCTCTTGTCTGCAATCCTAGCTACTCAGGCTGAGATCTGAGGATCACAATTCAAAGCCAGCCCAGCAGGAGGAAAGTCCATGAGACTCATCTCCAATAAACCACCAGAAAACCAGAAGTGGCACTGTGGCTCAAGTAGTAGAGCACTAGCCTTGAACTGAAGAGCTGAGGGACAGCGCCCAGGCCCAGAGTTCAACATCCATGACTGACTCAAAAAAAAAAAAAAGAAAAAAAGATTATCTTTGTTGCTGGGTTTTGGCTACTGAATTAGATAATATTGAAATCTGTAAGGAAACTAATTTGGTTAACCACAAGAGTGACAGAATTAAAACCAGCCATCATTTTGACTGGTGTGTGTGTGTGTACTGGGATTGAACTTGGCCTTGCACTTAAAGCTGGTGCTCTACCCTTTGGGACACACCTCCACTTGCAGCAAAAAGCTGGAAGAAACCCTTGGAAATGGTTCCAAGGAGGAAGAAGTGGGAATGAAGGAGATAATTAAGGGAATGGGTTTGACAGGAGTACATTATATGCATATATGGAAACATCACAAATAACAAACAACAGGCTAGGGCTGGGAAGGTGGCTCAGTGGTAGAGCGCTTGCCTTGCATGCCTGAGGCCCTGGGTTCGATTCCTCAGCACCACATAAGCAAAAAGAAAAAAGCCGGAAGTGGCGCTGTGGCTCAGGTGGTAGAGCGATAGCCTTGAGCTGAAGAACTGAGGGATAGTGCCCAGGCCCAGAGTTCAGGCCCCACGACCATACCCAAAAAAAAAAAAAAAATAACAGGCTAATAACAATAGGAAAGGAGTCAGGCGCTGGTGGCTCACGCCTATAATCCTAGCTACTCAGGAGGCGAGGAGGCTGAGATCTGAGAATCACAGTTCAAAGCCAGCCCTGGCAAGAAACTCCATGAGACATTTTTTTGTTGTTGTTGGTCGTGGGCTTGAACTCTGGGCTTGGACGCTATCCCTCAGCTCTTCAGCCCAAGGCGAGCACTCTATCGCTTTAGCCACAGCGCCACTTCCTCCATGAAACTCTTATCTCCAATAAACTACTAGAAAACTGGAAGTAGCGCTGTGGTTCAAGTGGTAGAGCGCTTGCCTTGAGCTGAAGAGCGCAGGGACAGCGCCTAAGCCTAGAGTTCAAGCCCCATGACCGACCAAAACAAAAACAAAAACACATGGGGAAGGAAACAGGTGAAAAATAGGAAAGGGTGGGAGGACAAAAACAAAGGAAACTTCCCAAAGTGAGAAAAATATCCAAAATCTGCATATTGGTGGCCTATATATAATGCTCTTTAAAAAAAACAATCTGAAATAGTCAATTCTTAGACATCCAGTTACCACTAGTATAGTAACCAACATGGTGATATTAACCTGATAATCCCAGCACTCTGAATTGGAGGCAGGATGATCTTGAATTCAAGACCAGTCTGAGCTGATATGGGGAGAGACTGGGAATATAACTCAATAGTAAAGTACTTTCCTAGTATATGCAAGGGCCTGTCTTCAATTCCAAACACTTCAAATTAAATAAATGTAATGGAGCAAAATTCTATGTGCATTATAAATGTGACATATAACTGCAAAACAGACATGAGACATTAAGAACAATACACAGAGCCAGACTGAGGTGGCCTCCATCTATAATCTTAGCTACTCAGGAGGCTGAGATCTAAAGATCTAGGTTCAAAGCCAGCCCAGCAAAGTCTGTGAGACTCTTATCGCCAATCAACCACCAAAAAGGTGGAAGTGGAGCTGTGGTACAGTTCCAGCCTTGGGCAAAAAGCTCAGTGACAGTGAGTGTCTAGGCCCTGAATTCAAGCCCCAGAACCAGTACACACACGTGTTCGCGTGCACACACACACACACACACACCAATATACAAAATTAGACAATAGAGCAAATTTGCAAGAAACTAAAGACATAAAGTAGGAGTTAAGCTATACCTCAGCTAAGAACACTGGAGCTAGGGGCCAGTGGCTCACACCTTTAATCCTAGCTACTTAGGAAGCTGAGATCTACTTAGTTTGGTTATGGATTCATTTATTGTGGGAATGGACTCCTGATAAAAGGAGTCTATTTCCCTTGCTCTTCTGACTTCTTCCATGGGATGACACTTAAGATGGCCTCTATCAGATGATGTCTCAAAACCTCAAAACCCTGGACATCTCAGACTTCAAATCTGTAAGAAATCAATCTCCTCTCATTACCTTACTCATGTAACTGTAACCCTCTGTATGGTATCTTTACAATAAAAAAAAGAAATCAATCTCTTTTTCAATCCTGTATTACTATAAATCATATTTCAACATCTAGCATAAATTCCCTAGTCTCCTGACTTCTGTTACAGCGATGCCAAGTGGACAGAGAGCATGCTTAGTGAGTAACCAGCAGTGAGCAGTAGATAGGAATCAATGGTATAATTTAAACTTGATGGGTTAGGCCTGGCCCCTGCTCACATGTGTTGTGAGCATTTGCCATTACTACGGAGTCTGGAGCCGCTTTCAGATGCTCCTTGTTTCTGGGCTGTGTGAGGACAGAGACAGACCTAATGACATTGACCATTCCTCTGCAGTGGTGTCCAACTTTATGCATGGTCTGCCCTTTCTTCTGGGCAGGACTTCTTTAATGTACAAAAATAGCCTGGTACAGAAGCCAGACGCTGGGCTACAGTTGTTGCACATGTAACTTGGGGATATG